AAGTCAAACCCAAATCATTTACCACGAGTGTCTTTCACTGAACAAAGAAATCCTATTCTGTTTCCAAGGGGGATAAAAAAGACGAGCCTAACCCTGGTAACCTTAACACAAAAGGAAGCTAAAAAGGCAGGGACTCGATAAGAACAAAGGATTGTTCTTTCTGATGACATCAATACGTATTAAACACGATGTGTTACACATCCTTCTATCAATATCTGAGATGATAAATTTGCAAATTAATACTACATTGGTCATAACTGCATAAAATTACAATGGCACCCTCTTTAGAAGAGATTTTGATTTATATAATGGTAGTAACTTTTATGTGTTTAATGTTTCTGAAATTAAAGGAGGAGATGAGCCACGGTGCGCAAGCAGAATACAACGTACGAGAAATAATTACGCTTGTGACCTCATGCCCTATAAGGTCACTCTGCATCATAGGCCAAAGGAAATCAGGAACCATCAGCATTTACCTCCGAGTGGTCACTGCCTGGAATGAAGGGCAAGCGTGGGTATATTTCATAAACCAGCAGGAGCTTGACCTCATAAAAAAGTCAATTATCAAAATGCTACATGTAGAATGTCACAAAAAGAAATATATAAAAGTGGGTTCTGCAAAATATCTTCCCTTCAAAATAAATCTGAGACAACTTAAACAGTTCATTTTCATCTGAATCGTAACACGTGTCACAAAGTAACATTAATCCTGTTAGTAAAAAGAACCCGCAGAATTTATAAAAAGTATTTTGTAACATAAAACATTATAAATACATGCTAAAGAGTGACAACTCAAAATATTTACAATATGTACGTAAGTCACTATCACAAGAATGTATGCAATATTTATAATTCCAGTCCTGTTACCAGTACAGTAAGAATCACAATACACTTACCCACAGATATTCTATCAAAAATTAGGCATCAAAAGTTTACATACTGCCTGCATTTGTAAGGGATAAAATGTTTCCTAACACGTTCTGGGACAGGGCTCCATCACCTGAAGCAAAATTCTCACATCACTCAATTAGGACTTGGTTTTTATGAACATTTGTGAACTGGCTTTTCAGTTAAGGCAGACAATTGCTCCTTTTTCCTCCCTAGTGATTTCTGGTCTACGGCCAGAATCCCTGAGCAATATAAATTCACGTGAATTCCGAGGCAGTGACAATAACGAGAACAAAACTCCAGAAACCAGCAGAGCAGAGGAAAGGGGACAGCCGGCCAACATTCACTAGGTGTGTAATATACTGTGCCGGATGCTGTACAGAAAGTTCCTCCTTGAACGCTCTCAACAGCCCTAAGAAAAGCAACTGGCTTCTGGCCCACTGCTTTCCTGAGGTTCTCAGAAAACCCACACGAGGCTTTTATTGCATAATGTACCTAAATAAAATTCCAGAAGACCCCAGTCAGTATGACCAGTTGGCTTGTCATCTTAGTCCCAGCTCAGTGACTTACTGGCTGTGAAGTGAGAGAAAGGTACTTCCCACTTTAAACCTCAGGCTCCAGATCTCTAAGGCGAAGGACGATCACAGTCCATCAGCCTGGTATGATATTCTGCTCTTCAAGCAAAAGCATTTTCAGAGTCTCAGACAAATATCTAACAAAGGGACTCTTAGATCAAGCTCAGTCATAAGTCAGGAGCTGCCAATACCGCATTGGGAATTATTGCACATTTTTAAATGCTTAGGATGATTAAATTATAAAAAAATATCTGATGAATGATGTATTTTACCAGATACAGCGCTTAATATTTTACCTACTTTAGTAAGAAGACTCCTATGCTAAAAATGGGTTTTTAGTTTCTAAAAGAACATTTTATGCTGTTAGCTCGCCACGAGAATCATCTCCTCAAACATTAATGACCATGGTGGACGCGATTTCACTACAAGCATGTTATGGCAGGTGTGGGCTGTCCACCAGCTGGCTCCATAACCTTTTGATCCCTCTGGACAGCAAATCTGTTCAGCAGCCCTATGTGGTCATTTCTCATTTGTTGTATGCTTTCTTCTCCTTTCACACTTTCAGAATCCTTACTCCCTCAGCTTGACATTCTTTTATTAAAATAGAAAGCTCCCAGTAAAGCAAACTAAAACTAATTTTATACTCAGGCAATGTAAAAGTTCCAGAATAGATTAATCTATGATAGCAAGAGTTGTTAGTGCAAGCTGTTTTAGTCACACGGAGAATACATGTTTATACTTTCACTAAAAATACAATAACATTAAGTGAAAAGATTAAAATTTTAAGTAAGCCAACATTCCATTAATTAATAAAGTACTCCAGGATATTGTAACTAAATATGAAGGACTATAATTTACATACATGGAAAGGTTGAAATCTGACCTAAGAACAACCTAGTTTATACTTCAACGATGACGGGAACCATTACAGAGTAATTTTCTTATAGTTATGTTTCTGATTCATTTTGTTGTTGTTAAATTTAATATGGCTAGAAATTACAGTCTGAAATCAGGAGTAGCTAAGGCACATATCTACTCATTCTTCTATCGCCACCGCCACTTTAAGATCTAAGGCTGCTAGAGGAGGCAAGGAATAAAGAGTGGTTAAGACAATAAGTTTTGTAGTCTGACAGTCACTTAGTAACTGAGGGACCTTAAGAAAGTTCTTTAATCTCTCTTGGCCTCAACTAACTCATCTGGTGGGGGAGTGGGGGGGTGGGCAGTGACACTAGTCCCTAGTTTACAGGCTTACTGCAGCAGTTTAATGAAATAACACAGACCAGGCACTTGGCAAAAGCCTGACAGAGAAAGTGTTCAATTAATGGTAGGTATTGTGATTATTTTCCTTATACTGTATCCTCTCTGGACCCTCTAACAGACCTCTCACCTAGCAACATATATACATTCTTATCATTGTTTCAGGGAGTAATTTGTGGCTACATTACACTTTTATCTTGTAGCAAACTCATTCTCTTCTTTCCAGGAAAATAAAACAAAATGGCATTCACCACCATTGTTAATGGTACCTCTCTTCCCAAACTGTCAAGAATACACTGCGCGCATCTTCGGTGTTTTTCATAGACCTTTCTGGGTAGTCCGTAATCAAGCCTTAGAAATACCTTCTATTCCACTCTATCTACATCTAGGTCTGGGTCCCATCTCCCCTCCATAGTAGCTGCCCAGCTACTCATTCTGCTTCAGCCCACTCTCCCACTGCAGTCCATTCCAAATAAAGGTGTCCGGAAATGGTTTCTAAATATTCCATAACAGCGTTCTCCTTTCAAAAGGACCTCTGATGATTTGCTAATGTTTCCTCTTCAATGTAGTCTACAGTGTTTTACTCATAGTTTGTCCTTAAATTGAGGCATCTTTTATTCAATAAAGTTTATGATGAGCTGATGAGCTGTTTTCCAGAATATTATAAAACTAATAGCCACAAGTTACTGAACAAATAGCACTGTTCAGGGCTCTTCAAATACGAGAGTCACCACTGACAAACAGCTGGTAGAGTTATACCAGTTATAACAATTATAGTCCTTTTGGGATCCTGTTTTCACATCCTTCTTGTACTATCATGTATTGTCTGTCTTGACACATATAGCGAGCATCTTATTACCAAGAATTTCGTATTGGCAAAAACCATTTAAAACAAAGCCACCTGAAACCCAGGCCAAATTTTCAAAGTAAAAAGTTTTAAAAGTTTCATTAAGAATTTAACCAAAATAAAATAAAATAAAATAAAATAAAATAAAATAAAATAAAATAAAATAAAACTGATTTTGTTTATACTGCATTTGGCCTAGCAGCATGATTACAAAGATTTTATGCTGCAAAAAATATGCAAACCCTTCAAGAACTTTTCCCAAGGTCTTTCCCAATCCGTTCAAATTATTTTCTTCTAAAAGATCTTCACAAATTTTCTTTCTTAACAGTACACTGGTCTAACTCTACCCAATCTTTATTTCTTAAGAATTCACAATTCCAACTTCAACTTGGAAAGGATCTACCTTCTACTGCACTTGCATATCATCAGATCACCACACGCTGGCATCCACAAGCATAATAATGCAACAGAGACAGATGCTACTGTTTAAATAGAGTAGGATTTTTGATTGGGATTAATTTTATAAGAGGGGCACCCGGGTGGCTCAGTCAGTTAAGCGTCCAACTCCCGATTTCAGCTCTGGTCATGATCTCACAGTTTGTGAGATGGAGCGTTGAGTCAGACTCTGCACTGACAGTGCAGAACCTGCTTGGGGTCCTCTCTTTCTCCTTCTCTCTCTCTCTCTCTCTCTCTCTCTGCCCTTCCCCTGAGTGTGCTAAGTAAATAAATAAACATTAAAAAAAAAAAAGAGGTCAGTCCATTAGAGAATATTCTGATATATATTTTTTAAATCAGGGGCGCCTAGGTGGCTCAGTTGGTTGAGCGGCAGACCCGCTCAGGTCATGATCTCACAGCTCCTAGTTCGAGCCCCACGTCGGGCTCTGTGCTGACAGCTCAGAGCCTGAAGCCTGCTTCAGATTCTGTATCTGCCCCTTCCCTATTCATGCTCGCTCTCTCTCTCTCAAAAATAAATAAACATTTAAAAAATAAATAAATAGGGGCGCCTGGGTGGCGCAGTCGGTTAAGCGTCCGACTTCAGCCAGGTCACGATCTCGCGATCCGTGAGTTCGAGCCCCGCATCGGGCTCTGGGCTGATGGCTCAGAGCCTGGAGCCTGTTTCCGATTCTGTGTCTCCCTCTCTCTCTGCTCCTCCCCCGTTCATGCTCTGTCTCTCTCTGTCCCAAAAATAAATAAAACGTTGAAAATAAATAAATAAATAAATGAATAAATAAATAAATAATAAATAAAATAAAATAAAATAAAACTCCAAACCATAGGGATTTGGAAAATGAATGCATAGAATTCAAAGATCCCTTATTGTGACTTTCAATGACTCACTTTTGTTGATAAGTAGTAGTGAGCATATCTGTGAGTTTAGTACTTTCTTCGTACCTAAGCATCGGAAATCGGAAAGCTTTGCAGAGAACTCTTACGTGATATGACATGGTCCATATACTGAGGTAAGTACGGGGCCCAGGCATCAATGGCTTCCTTCCGTCCCGCTTGCTCAATTCTTCTCAGTTCAGCTAGAAGCAGGGCCTGCGCGGCTTCTCTGACCTGAACAGGAAACAGATCCAAATGAAAAAAACAGAAAGCAGATCAGTTGGAGAGGTGTTTAAAAACTGGAAAGTTCATAATGAAATGAAGCTAGAAAATATACAAGTCACATTAATTTACGGGAGAAAAACTACAGACCAAATAGTGAATTAAGTATTTAAAGTAGAATAAATTGGATGTGGGCAAATGAAAGACATTTTAATGAATGAGCTCACTGAAAAATATTTTAACACTAATAGACAGAATATGTGAACATTTACGCAGCGTTGGGTTTAAAACTTCATTTTCCAAAGCCTTTGAAACATTCTTGCACTTTCATTTAGCATTTTCACTTTAAAATCTCCGTGTCATTGATCCTGTTGAAAGTCACTGTTAGAACTGTTAAATGTATCTTCTCTTTTAGCCTGAAGAAATTTAACCTTATCTAGTGAGTTTCTTTGTATGATATATGCTAAATCGGTATTGTTTATACAAACTTATGTATAACTCCGCACGATTCATGTGTCCCTAAGACCTGCTTAAACAATTTGTTTTCAACAAATAAGCAAAGTACATTCTTGTGTACTAATACTAGTTCTATAGAAGGAAACTAGTTGTCAAAGTTACATCATCCCAGTTTTTCCTTCAATGCGGCACACAACTTTTATTTTGCAGTTTTAGTGTTCTTTTGGCAAATTACCACAAAGCACAGAGTCAAAGAAGCTAGTCAATTGTCAAGTGGTGTATCAACCAATTTATTAACTCTTTATAACTGAAAACGTAACTCAGCAGTGTCTGATAAGAGTTTAAATAAAAATTCCTTTTAATTATAACTGATTTTTGAAGTGAATTCAAAAACAATTCAATGCAAAACCACGAAGATTTGAGTATGGTGCGATTCCACTTGGAGATGAGGGAAGGGAAACCAGATGCAGGGAATATCTATATTTTGATAAGTTCAAAATCTTGAATGATACAAACTGCTATAGGTAGACAGGTCAAATGCCATAATAAAGGAAATCCCTATAAAACATTTCCAAGTTCCTGGTGATATTATATTCCAAGCAGTATCTAATACAGCAGAAGTCCATTAACACAAAATAACAGCTACCATTTATTGAGCTCCTACCATGTGTCAGGCTCTGTACTTACTGTTTCACTTGCATTATCTGATTTGATCCTGACAGCAATCCCATGAGGAATATATTATTATCCCCACTTTGCAAATGAGCTTCAAACAGGTTAAGTAAATTGCCCAGGGTCACAAAGTTAATAATTGGCAGAACTGATATTTAAACCCAGGTCTCTTCGAATTCCAAAGACTTTTATTATAACACAGTACCTTCCACTGGACAATGGCTATTCACTCAGAATTTGATTGGTGTAATTACAACCCAGTGTGTGATTTGGGGGGAGGTGGATGTGAGCATGGATGTATGTGTACAATCCATACAAAAACCAATACTTAAACAGTTCCAGGAAGTATATGAAAGCTTTTGTCAAATATTCACTGGATTAAAAAGTAAACAAATTCGCAAGCTGTAACATTACTGTTTGGTATATAAACTGAGAAAAAAAAATCAGAAACCCATATTTTCTGTCACATAATAAACTGGTGAAAAGAAATTAGATAAGTATTAACCATTTCATCTCAAATTTACACATGTCTAGGGCGCCTGGGTGGCTCAATTGGTTAAGCATCTGACTTCGGCTC